TTACATGACGTCACGAGATTCGATGTGGGGATGCGTTCATCTGGAAAAGCCGGCTGATAGTATTCAAATCCAAGTTGTCCACACGGGAAATTTTCGACGCAACGCAACTTGAGCAGAAACATGACAAACATTCAAGCCGTGGAGTTTGTGAAGCCGACATGTTACGACGTCTCAACAATGTACCTCTTGAATGTTTTGCAGGTAAAGCCCTCGACATCATCCTTCTAACCCTTTTGTCCGAGACTCTCCATGCTCTGCAACCATGCGGCATGGGCAGATTTGCCCCAATGAAGAAGTACTTCAAGCAGCAGCTCCAGCTCTTTTGCAACAGACGACATGGCCTACAGTCCAACAAGACGCAATTGGCGACCCTCATCAACAACGCGGCAATGAAAACAGGCACAAGTATATAGACTTCAATGGTCATTTTGGGCATTTCTGCAACATATCAGTATTGCGCCCTTTGGAAGTGGCACATGACCGATCAAAAAGAAATTGAGGTTTAGGGAAGAGAATATGTGAAACGGCAATTGATTAAGCGATACAAACCATTCTCAACAAATATTGATAGAGAAAACTGCTTGGGGCGCCCCCCAAAGTCGTAGAATATACAAAAATTGGAAAATGGCAGGCCACGAAATGAGGAAAGACGCCCGGAATGACCATTGAAGTGTATACAGGTACTTGGAAAGGCCACTTTTTGCCGACTAGAACTTCACAGAAAGCTTTAGATGTGCCCTTCCAGATGCAAAAGACAGAATTGAAAACAGTGAAAAAACGCTCAAGTTATTAACAAAGACGTCTTCAAAAACGTTGCCCGCGCTAAATTAGGTCACGGTAAGTTCGACCTGAATCGCCCTCACAAAAAGTGCCTATCTCCCTTCAAGCATCTTTTAGAATGAATTATAAAACACATCACAAGAGTCCGCGTCACTCCAATCCCGTAGCTAGAAGTACTAGTCGGTTCAACTATACGGAATCCTTTCCATCAATCGGTCACTCTACCACTCACAATACGGCTTATATTCCACTTGGAGTTGTGATTGGGGCACTATACTGGTGGTGGTCGGTATTATCGTACTACTACTTGGGTCCACTCAGAATGCCGCATAAACCAATCCTCCATTCGAATTGGGCCGCGTGTCAGCCTTGAGTGGCTCGAAACATTTTTTGATGCGACGTAATTTTATCGTCATGGCGACAAAAAACGGGTTCTGACATTTTATGTGAACGATATGATTGGTCGCGACGAGATTTGTAAGGGAGTCAGATTTGTCGTACTTGGGGCATTCGATGTCATCGAACAGGCGCAGCGACCATCGTTTGGTCCGTGATACAACCGACAAAAGCAACCGCCGGCTCATAACTCAGCCCGGTCGCCGAAAAATGAAAAATCGCGGATTTCGTTGATTCGCACAACCGACTTTTGTGGGTAGAGTTTTTCCATGCGCTTCCAGAAGCGTCCGATCGGGTCGTTGAACAAGGTCTCCTCGACGAATCGAGCGGATCCTTCATCGGATTGCGTAGTGCTAGAACTTTCCGGGTCAGCGGCTGTTGCTTGCCGCGTTCGTGGTCGAGTTGTAGACCCGCGGGCTTCTTGCTGCTCAAACTGTATCTTTGCGGGAGCGTTCTTGTTAGCCAGCTCTTCCTCGAGCTCTTCCATGAGGGCACATGCCTGATCATGGGCATCGCCGGCCGTAAGGCCGATCAGCAAGAAAAAGAAGTCGTTCTCATTGAGTTTATTTGCATCAGGCTTGGCATAAGCTCGCGCTTCAAGTTTGCAAACTTGACTCGCAAATGAGGTAGTTTTTGGCCATTTGGATCGCCCGTATATGGCTCAGCATGCACTCGTGTGGTAGCCATGTCGGCCGTCACAAGCGCGTGCAGAGGACACGTGTTATATGATGTACTCACTATTCACACGTGTCAGCCGTGGTACACTGTGTACACAGGCAATTGAAGTTTGGACATGATGGGTAGGCGGTGCATGCTCAGAAACTAGTCACTATATGCATTTGCAGGCTGCGGCATGCACATTTAGACCGTTTTTGGCAACTTCGATCATATGTACACACAAGGTACTCAAAGTACACACGACGTACAATTTGTACTCGCAGCTCAAGATGTGCACATGCAACGATTTGCAACTAGACCGAGCAAGTTTTATGGGCCAAATTTTGGCAGCACCAAGCGTTCAGTTCGCGAACAACTTGCTCCACTTACAATGATTCAATCAATCACAAGATTGTCTTTCAAAATCTGCTTTGCGGTAACTTTACTCTACTCTGCAGGCAATGGACAACAGTCCCACAGAACCACTAAAGTCCTGTCTACTCTACAATACCACCACTAATCTCCCCCTTCCCTAGTTGGCAGGTGGGTTAGCTGGCGGGTTAGCAGCCCGGTTACGGGGCTGGTCAGCAGCCTGGTTAGCAGGCTGGTTAGCGGCCTGGTTGGTGGCTGGCCCGCTCCTCTTGGCGCTCGCCTCTTCGCTGATGGCCATGCTTGAACTTGCCATGTCCGCCGCGCTTGTTATTGGGCGGCGAAGGCTTGAATGGCTTGAATGGACGGCGCTCCCAAAAGAAGGAGCTCCGATCTGCAATCCACAAACCACAATCAGTGGGTGGTGGAAATCAGCACTTGCAGTCACGTAGACGCAATGCCAGGCAGCCACAACAAAAGTTGTGCGCGCTCAAGAATTGTTGGATGTAGCGAGACACGAAGTCGCGCAACCAGCAGGATGCAGCGTGACGCAAAGGTCGCGCAACCTGACGCGAGGCCAAACGTGAGGCCAGGCGATTTGCGCACGCGGCCACGCCCGCAAGACAACACCCGCCTGGGAATGTGCACAGGGGGGGCCATAGACTTGCGCAGCACACCAAGGCAGTCCGCTATGATGCGCTACACAGGCAATGCGCTCTCTACAAACAGACGTCAGTCAACCAAAATGGTCACAAGTCCGATTTAGCACCGTACTCGCCGACGCTGAACCCAGCGCGCACAGCACTCAGTAGGCTGTCTAGCAGAGCATAGGAGGCTTCCGCCTTGGCGACGCCCTCCAGACGGCCGCGGAGCTCAGGGGCTGGCTGCTGCTGGCTGCCGCTGGCGCTCACGTCGAGGCTGATTGGGGTTGCGCTTCTTGGGCTCAGCGTTAGCGTGCGGAGGAGCAACTTCAGGGTTGTTAGTCCCAGTTTCTCTGCGTCAGGCAGAATCTCGGGGTCAGCCTGGCGCTGATGCAACTGCCCGCGCTGCAGCTCGTTACGCTCAAGCTCCAAGCGCGCGAGTCGATCCTTGGCGGCAGCGACGGAGGCGTCTTTCGCAGCGTCCGATGCAGATGGTACCGCTGCGCTCTGCTCAGCCTCACTAGCCATCGCACACAACTCAACGTGCAGCCCGTGATAAGCAGAAACCCTAGTGCATGCACGCTGAAATGAAAACTGGAAGGTCCTGGAAAGTGAGCGATGCCGCCAGCGTGCTCAGAATCCTGAACAATGCACTAGAGAGGGCCAAGAAAATGGCAAGGAACCCGACTAGATGCAAGCACACGCTGCAACCGACGGGCCTACTCTGCAAGCACGGATCCTCAAAAGGGCTGAACTAGGACCTCTGTTAGCTATCCTACTCAAAGGCACCGTCCCCTAGCTCCTCTGGAGCCGATCCACAGCCAAAAATAATAATGCAAGCTCACCAAATGAGTGTCGTGCGAGTGGAGAGCCAGCTAAACCAAGGACACAAGCAATCAATGCAAGCACCCCCAAGCAGCCAGAAGACCTTACTCCTCGTAATACAACCAGACTTTACAAGAGAAGGTCTCTGCTCCACTCCTTGCTTGCAAATGCTCCTCTCCACCTCGTGCGCGATTCTTTGTGCAAGTCTCCAACGAGCTTGCAGCCGTCACCTGGGCAAGCTCCTTTGGGGCACACGGCAACGTGGAGGCAACGAGCAGTCGTTCTACTGTGCTAAGTGGTCGCAAGGCTTGCTGTCATGCATAGGCGGAAGCCATGGCGAGAGCAAGAAACAAGGCGCTAGATGCAAGGGCCAAGAGAGCAACCACTTGCACAAAGAATGGCAAGTGGGTGCGCAGGGCCTCGAATGTCACTCGAGCCTACGAATGTCCTCGGTACGTATGTAACGCTAGACTATAAAGTAGTCTGCAACTACACTACTAACTGCAAGGCCACGTAACGTCGATAATGTCTCGGTGGATCTTATGAAAGCTATCGATTGTCAATCGTCGTAGTATGTAAAGCCTGAGCTAATGTAACGCCACACTCAGTAATACTAGCAACGCTACATCTAAGAATGGACGCAACTATCGAGGGCGAAATATCCTATCTCAATGGATGGTGGTCAAGCGACATGACGCCATCAAGGCGCGCAGACAAATATGCTGGCAAAATGTGAGCCGTCGACCCGTTATTGGACGGTCAAAAACGATCGATATCGAAGGAATCGAATCTTCGCCAGATATGCTAGATGAGGTTGCTACCGGGGGTACCGGGTGCGAACCGAGTCGAGCTGGCGGTGTCTGATAAGCGTCGATTGCTAAATCGAACGGCCGGAAGCCAATGCAAGGTAGTCAGGAGCCTGTGCGCGCGCATGTGCGAGCGCAAGCAGAACCCGGACCCGAGAGCGCATGCGGCAATGCGACAGCCGCGGCGGCTAGAGCCGCGCGCTAGCTAATTATGCGGTGCATGGCGCGTGCGTAAGCGCAGCGCGCTCGACATGAAACGCACTCGACATCAACGGGCGTGACAACCGGTCCCCTCGGTAGGGGAAAGCCGGTACTTCGTCACGTTTCTGGACGACTACAGCAAGCTCTCGGCTGTAGTCCCCATGAAGCAGAGGAGCGAGGTGGCCAAGGTGACTGAGCACGTGATTAAGCGGTTGGAGCTGCAATCCGGGAAGAAGTTCAAGACGGTGCGGACGGATCGGGGGAAGAAGTATGTCAACACGGCTCTCAATAACGTGTTCGGGGGCAAGGGAACGATTCACGAGAAGACCGCCCACTACACAGCCGAGCAGAACGGGTCGGCAGAACGGCTCAATCGGCAAATGGAGGAGAAGGTCCGGGCGATGCTCGAAGATTCGGGGCTACCCAAAGAGATGTAGGCGGAGGCCATTGTGACGGCCAAGTACACCCGGAACCG